TGCGTCGGTTCTGGGCTCTCGGTTGTCTGCAGGAGATCCAACAAAGCCTCTGCACATTCTGATTGTCTTTGTTGGTCTTCCTTGAGCTCCATCCTCTGCTCTCGTCGAAGAGATGCCTCTGATCTGGGCTTACTTGTTGTGTGGTAACCGAGGCTAACAGTGGGAGCCCAGTCTACCGACTCAACGTCACCCAAAGCGCTAGGGCACCCTAAAAAGTCCCAACAAAGTCCATATTAGACTACAGGTAACTTAAACATGATCAGTATTACTAAGTAAATAAGCATTTAACCACAACCCAATAATACATAAACAAAGCCACAAAAACCAAGTTAGCTAATACCTCTGATGAAGTGGTCGCTGCAGACACGTGCATTAGACGACTCTGCTCCTCCCGACCGCAGATGTAGGTTTGAAAGCCATTTTTTCCGGCGTTCTTCGGTTAGCTTCTTAAATTGCTCAGCTTTATGGACGACAACCTTCGGCACTCGGTAAAACCTCTTGTTTTTCTCTCGGCCGGATCGATTGGAACAACCGTAAACTACACAACACACCGGTATTTTCACAATGGTAACAGCAGCTGGATCCTCTGTAGAAAATTACTTCCTGACCTCCAATGGAATTTTGCGCCAAAGGAACGCAGCGGTGTGACGTCAAGTGAAACCAGGCTATTAAAGAGTCAAAAGTGTCTCTAAAGTTTGTGATGTCAACGTTTTCAGATCTAATATCTGGTCAACATTTTTGGTCAACAAAAATCCGAATGTGTTACCCTGTCCAAATAATATTGAGCTACTACTTTTGCAAATAGGCCTATCAACATTTAGTATGTGGTAAATAAAGATGAAAAAGAGGGCAAAACAACAAAAAATCCTCTCATGTTACAGAGCATGATGAAAGCCAGACTATTCAGATGCATAACTTTGTATCCATAAAGTATCCCATACTAATTTAGCTGTTCTTGAAAAAACAAATCTTAAGTACTTAAAATACCTTTGCAATGTTGACATAATATACATAATATCACCTACAGTACCCAGTGATTATATCTCCAAGTATCTCAAACCAAGGCAGACATAGAAGTCAATTGGATTACATTAATCATTCCTCTAACATCTTGAATAGTGATGAAATGCTGACAAATGTTTTTGAATATTTAACACCATATAGAATGCTTAAATGTCTGCTTATGTTGTTCCACAGATGCATCCATGATGAGCCCTTTTCAGCACCACTCCTCGTCCAAGACCTTTTCGGTTCTGCTCGTAACCGAGCAGAACCGAAAAGGTCTTGGACGAGGAGTGGTGCTGAAAAGGGCTCATCATGGATGCATCTGTGGAACAACATAAGCAGACATTTAAGCATTCTATNAGGAATAAAGAATAAAGTGCAGTAATTATTTCCAGGAGTATAAAAATAAAATCTGTAATGTAATAAATAATAATAATAATAATAATAATAGTGTGTATTTATAATAATAATAATAGTAATGATATATATGTATATATGTACAGAGTCACATTGATTCACATGTCAGGTGTTAAGAGCAATGATGGCTCTTGGGAAAAAACTGTCTTTGAGTCTGTTTGTTTTGGATTTGATACACCTGTAGCGCCTGCCGGAGGGCAGCAGGTTGAACAGGTGAAAGCCGGGGTGTGAGCTGTCCTTGATAATGTTTTTGGCTCTACTGAGGCAGTGGGAGGTGTAAATGTCCATCAGGGAGGGGAGAGGGGAGCCGATGATCCTCTGTGCTGCTTTTACGACTCTCTGGAGCCTCATCCTGTCGGCCTCAGTGCAGCTGGCGTACCACACTGTGATGCAGTGTGTCAGTAGGCTCTCGATGGTAGAGCGGTAGAAGGTCACCAGCAGCTTAGTGGCCAAGTTGTTCTTCCTGAGCACCCTCAGGAAGTGCAGACGCTGCTGGGCCTTATTGATGACAGCTGTGGTGTTGTCCTTCCAGGAAAGGTTGTTAGTGATGAGGACGCCAAGGAACTTGAAGGTGTGGACCCTCTCCACACACTCGCCGTTAATGTCGAGGGGAGCGAGGTTGGTAGTATTCCTCCTGAAGTCTACGATGATTTATTTGGTTTTTGTGGGGTTCAGTGCCAGCTTGTTCACTGAACACCACGCTGAGAGCTTCAGTACCTCACTCCTGTAGGCCAACTCGTCTCCTCCTGAGATGAGCCCCACCACAGTGGTGTCGTCAGCAAACTTGACGATGATGTTCTCTGGGTGGGCTGGACTGCAGTCGTGGGTGTAGAGCGAGTACAGGAGAGGGCTCAGCACACAGCCCTGAGGAGAGCCGGTGCTGAGATTGCGGGTGGAGGAGTGATGGGGGCCACGTCTCACACGCTGGGGGCGGTTAGTGAGGAAATCTTTGATCCAGAAACAGGTGGGTGGGGGAAAGCATAGGTTTGACAGTTTGCAAACTAGAATGTCCGGGATGATTGTGTTGGACGCTGAGCTGTAGTCAATAAAGAGCAATCTGACATAGCTCCCACGATGCTCCAGGTGGCTCAGTGCAGAGTGGAGAGCTATGGCTATGGCGTCTTCCGTGGATCTATTTGCTCTGTAGGCAAACTGGTGTGGGTCGAGGGTGGGGGGAATGGGGCGGTAGTCATTAAGGCTGTTTGTGGTTGCTTTCTTAGGAACAGGAATGATAGTGGCAGTTTTAAGGCAAGGTGGGATAACAGTTTCAGGGAGAGATTAAAACTGAGTTCTTGGACTGAGTGATTTAATTTGAGCCCACACACACCATGATTCCTGGCTATGCTAATAGGAAAGTTTGTAACCACATTAATCACTGGAACATATTCCATTAGTACTAAGTTGTAGCTCAAGGATTTGTCATTGAACTCCGTTTTATGTACTTAAATCCAAGTGGAGTAAATGTTTTGGTTATTTTTGCAGACTAAACAGCTTTTAAACTCTATAATTTATCTGCCTGGCCAACATGCTTGTCATCTGAGCTGGCTTTGGGTTTGCAGTGAATGATATTGATGTGTGCAGATCTGTGAACAGCCCTTGTGCAGCTGTCAAAGACTTGCTAGTCATGCCAGCTGTGCTGTGTGAATGCCGTGTTGGACAATCCACTGCTGTGCTTCAATGCCTTTCCAGCATCAGTCAGTCAGTGTGTTCACATGCCAAAAGTCTGAATGTAACTGACAGCCTGTACAGGTCTTTCCAAAGAAATCTGGAAGAGTTCAAGCATGTGAATTTAATTAATAGCAAAAAGGACAAGTGTACAAAGCACTAGGAATCAAATTACAATGATTGTTTGACAAGCAAATCAGACCTTTTAAACATGTAGGCTTGTGAAGCTGACAATTGAGCGGCCCGACCAAGTAAGGAGGCAGAGGCAGAACGTCCTGATACAACCCGGTGTTGGAATTTATTCATCGTTGGTACATGATAAACAACATCAATTTCCCCTTATGACTGTCTCCAGCACTATACCTTTCTCTCAATGAGCCTAACATGCCACCCTGTATAGGCCCATCCATTGGACTGTACCATCAAAAGGGGTGGTATGTGCACAGATGGTTAGCTCAGATAATGAAAACCAATTAAAGAAAAATAAACATTACTTGGAAATAACAAACATCTATTCAGTAAAGTATACTTAATGAATGTAAGGAAAAACATTATAAACCAACAACATCAATGTACACGATATGCAACCAAGTCTCACGGCATTTCGTGTTGCAGTCACAACATTGAATCTATTGATTCGTGTTCACCAACACAATTTCCCCCTTTTTTTTAAAGCAATGTATTTCTATTGGTAGTGTGTTTCGTGCCTGCAACACGTATTTTTGTCCGGTCGGGTCTTGGAGAGACCAACCAGTCTCACGGCATTTTGTGTTATAGTCAATAAACAGATAGACAGAAGATAAAACAAATACATAATTAAACAGTGTGCTTTTATTCAGTCATTTATTCAAGTAAATGGAAAATATAAAACATGAATACAGAATAACCGAGCAGAACCGAAAAGGTCTTGGACGAGGAGTGGTGCTCAAAAGGGCTCATCATGGATGTATCTGTGGAACAACAAAAACAGACAATTGTAAAACAATAGCAATACTTATTCTGACAGAAGATAAAAACAATTACATAATCAAACAGTATGCTTTTATTCAGTCATAATGTTTACATCAACAACAAACAAACCATTACACTTTACTATGCACATTTTTGCCTGGAACATCAACCTTTAACCTGTCAAGATAGGAAAGTCGGCATCCTAGTGTAGTGGAAGAGGCTAATCTAGCTTCTCATAATCAGAGGAGTCAGTGTCATCGAAGTCGTGAATTGTCCAACTCATAAATAAATCCTCTTATGTGACCTAAATCAATAACAAAACTCATCATACTAACGTTAGATAGATGTGTACTACGCGTATTTATCAAAATTACCTTTGTTACGGTGTAATTATGAAGTGTAGTTGTATTTTGTTGTAACTACAAGAATTACAACATGAAGATATTACATTCTAGGAAGGGATAACGAACAATATATGCTGAACTTCTTATAAGAACTATTAGGTATGTTTACAGACACCTGTCTGACGTTTGATAATAACTGTAAAAATTTACATAACCCTTTGGTAAAAGACCATTGGCCTGTACTTTATGAGGTATGGTCTGAGATGTTGAGTTTTGTTTGTCTGGTATTGTCATAAATGTAACCAATTAACAATGCATGGAATGAATGACCATGTGTGAATGACATAATATATAGTTCTCAGGTTGTGAATGGTCTTGTAATCTAATTCTAAAATCATGAGGAACTATACAAAAAATAAAAATGGTAAATTAACGTTCAATTACATTACAAATTGGACTTGTAAGGAATTATAATGGAAACTGCCATAAATTGGTTACAACTAAACAAGATTTCAAAAAAACTTGAAAGGTACGCTAGTCAAATATCCCTGACGTTCTTGGCGACCTATCGATAGGTGTACCTGTATTGAGTTACGAAAAATACCGTCCTTACAAAACTTACCCTGCGTGCGTGACCGGGAGTGTCCGTCCTTCTGGTTACTTCCTCTCTCCTTCACAAAACCCTACCCTCTAAACA